GGGTGAGTGGGGGGGGGGGTCACAGCACACCTGATTACTGCTCGGAGAACATCGGGGCTCTTTAATTTTCTTATTTAACCTGTCAAGAACTCTGGTCAAATATGCATAAACATAAAACCCTTTTGTTTTCTTGACTTCTTTTTCCGTCTGTCATATTATGCGACAAATCGTAAATGATGTGGAAGTACACTTTTTGTTTTTATTATGTTTGCAATATTTGCACAACTTGTCATGAACGACGTGAAAATTCACGTTTTTATTTGTTTTTGTCTGCCGGTACAGGTTTATGTGCCACTCTTGGTTTGTTGCGTTATCTTAGTCTATTGTTGGTTTGTTGCGTTATCTTAGTCTATTGTTGGTTTGTTGTCGTTATCTTAGTCTACTGAGGACTAGGGTACTCCTGATTTTCCCCCTGAAAACTCCCTATTTTATGGGAGGATTTTACCTATTTCTCTTTGGATTGTCGTAAAACTCTTTATAAAACAAACAAAATTTATGCTTTTGCCAGTTAACGTTCTAAATCTGCTTTTCATTGTAAGGTAATGTTCTACATGACACTGATGTTTTCTGTTGTGTGTCTTCAGTTCAGCCTCAAGCCACCCCGATACAGGCGGCCAATCAGCAGTTCCAGGTGAGTCGTTCGTTACTTTGTGTGTGGTTTTGTTTTCTCTTACTTTGTTTGTGACTGTTGCAGGACCATTCTGTGACTGTGCAAGTGACACACATAATGCAGGGGGATGACTGGGGGAGAAAGTTTGAAACAGTGGCAGAACATTTTATTGATTTGTTTCTTTGTTTTTTATATTTTTTATTTTATTTCTTCAATGTTGGAGGTGCGTTGCCTCATCTAGAAGAAAAAAAAGAATGAATGGGGAACCATGATCTGCTCAGATCTGACCCTTAACGATGACGGTGATTCGTTTATTGTATTGTTGTTCAGTTTGCCTGCTTTATCTCAGCCATTCCCTCTGACTTTCCCCCCAGCCATCAGCCGCAGCTACAACAGCCACCCTAGCTCTCCCCAGCGGACTGTTCCAGCAGCAGATCGCCACCATCGGGGCCGGGGGGCAGATACAGAACATCACAGTACAACAGACAGGTGAGTCATTGTACAACAGACAGGTGGGTTGTACAGAACATTACAGTACAACAGACAGGTGAGTTGTTGTACCTGTAGAAGACAATCATCACCTGTAGAAGACAATCACCTGCACACACAACCACGTTTCATTTCCCCCGTTGTGTTTAGTACACTATAGTGACACGGTGTAAGACAACCACTTGTGTTTTTTCCCATTGGTGGTGGGTGGCTGTCTGACACTGACACTGTTTCTACTATACTTTGATGGCGGATTTGTTGACAGATTTGCTTGTTTGGAATCTTTATATATATAAATGAGATATTTTTCAGGATTAGAGAGAAGTCTTTGATCCTGTCATGTTTATTCAGTGGGCCTGAGATTGATTTCCAGTTTGACAGGTTGTTGGGTTTGTGTTTTTAAGGGGTCAAGATTTTTAATGGGAGTGGTGTGGATGTCTTACTGTTTCCACCAACATGTCGGCGTTAAACAATTGTACATGGCTGGTTTATCTATGTCATGCTCATACTGTGCTGGAACAACATAGGGGGAACTACTGCCTTTTTCCCCTCCATCTTTACTATCGTCTTTTTATTTTCCTCTACTTCTTTTGTATGTTTGTCACTCTCTTGTGACCCACTATTTCCGGGGTGGCTGGATAGTCGAAGCAGACTTTGTGCTGTTGAAGCTAGAGAGGTGAGCAGAGTAAGCCTGATTCCCTGTAAGGATTTCTCTCTTGACATCCACCCCTTGGCACTCATATGATCTTATGCCGTTGCGAGCGCCGTAAAACTAATCAAGTGGAATATCCCCCCGTAACTCACGGATGGTTTCTTCTCCCCCCCAGGTACGGGGCAGTTCATCACGTTGTCCGGCCTCACCCCACAGCAGCTTCCTCAGTTCCAGCAACAGCTTCAACAACAACAACAGCAGCAGCAGCAGCAACCACAGAGAGCCCAGCTGGCCCCACAGATCACACCCCAGATGCTGCAACAACAACAGCAGCAGCAACGCATCCACATATCACCACAACAACAGCAGCAGCAACAACAACAACAACAGCCCAAATTGTTGCAGGGAGCTCAGATCTTACAGTCTGCTGCCCCCGGCCGGACCAGCCAAGCTCAGGTACAGTTGATAGAATAAAAGTAATGGCAACAATAATAATAATAAATAGCATTTATGCTGCGCATTTCCATTTTCTAAAAAAATGCTCAATGCACGTTAAGTTCATTCGCTGTCTAGATGTAACCCGCTCGTGATATATTACACACCCCAGGTCTTTGAAGACGTCACTTTCCCCATTCCTCATATTCCACATCTCATCCCTGATTTTGAACAAAACGTACAAATCAAACGTACAAGTCAAAAAGTGTAATTTTCTTCCGTTTGAAAGTCGTTTTGTTATTTGTGTTTTGCAAGAGCGTGCTGTGGTCAGCTAGACTTGACATATGTTTATCAGTCAGTTCAATATTCGTACATAGACCTGCATGTTTGCCGACAATCGTCTGAAATCCGACAATCGCGACCCCGACCCGCGAACCGGCCGATGCTATCGCTAGGCCCGCCTGTATCAGTCAATGTTCGAAGTGCGAGGCCTGGCCGTGTGCCAGCGACCCATTTTTCTCCCGTCGGCTTTGTCGGCACTTTCGTTTTCGTGTCGACTACCGACGTCGGCGTTTCCGACATAATTGTCGGAACCTGAGTAGAAATACGAATACGAAAAAGTACGACGACTTAAATTATCTACTTTCAGTTTCTTGCTCGAGCGGCCATTTTGAATTTCGTTTGTTTACTGATTGTTCAGATCATGTGGATTCTTTCAAGTCCGACTCACTTGTTCTACTCTAGATCGAGATTTATAGATCATTATAGACCTCGATGGAGGATTCCTATTCCAATTCTATTGTGTCAAACCATATTATAGGTTGTGCTGTAATATTAATGTTGGTAAAACGCATTTTATCAGGTGCGTGAATTATTTACTTAGAATAAAGATCTAAATTTCTAGATTTAGCCCCCTAGACTCAGCTGAGCCCCTCTCTTCGGAATCGGATGCGGATTTCTCGTTCAAGGCCTAGATTCTAGATCTATTCCTATTCACTTGTTCTACTAGATCTAGATCTAGATTTATTTAGATCACTGAGATCTATATGGAGGATTCATAGATCTTTATCCAATTCTATTGTATCAAACTCTTTATAGCAATGTAGGCCATATTATTTTTATTATAAATTATAAATGCTCCTTGTTTGTTTTGGAGCGTGCTTATTTCTTTCTTCTTTTTTTTTTGTTGTTGACTTGTGCTGGCCTTTTTACATGAGGGCCGTTGCAGATTCTTTTTTTGTGTTAGGCCTAGGGGTAGGCCGATAGGGTTAGGGTTAGGTCTCTTCTTTATTGTGTTTGTTCAGGTGGTCGCTCGTTACTCGGAAATCCTTCCTTTTATGACACCCACAATTTAAAAGCTCTAAAGTTATGGGAGGGGGGTGGGGGTGGGGTTGCACAAAATTTTCAGACAATCTGGTTGAGGCTCACATGCAGGTCTACGTACAGAAGAATTGGAGCCAGGTGATTAGCCGGACATGCGTGTAACATCATAGGGGCAACCCAGAACTGCAAATTTTGCCCAGTTGCGTGTCGTCCAAGGCAGGGAACCAAGCTAGGAATCAGGCTTGTTTGTGAGGTACGAGGCACGTCGTAAAGAACAAACTGACCTGTGCGTTTTGACAATCTGGGGACAGACGTCTGTTTCCGTATGAAACTATATCCTGTGTGTTGTGTGTTCTAGTAGTGCTCCTCATGTATCAGAACATATCTCCTCTCCCCCCCGCCGCCTGGCAGTTCTACTGTCTGAAGTGACTTTAGGCCTTTCCCAAAGGAGAGATATTAACATGTTCTTATGCACAGTAGAATTGTAAATGGGCTGATTAATCAATGTCATGCTCATACTGTGCTGGAAGAACATAGGGGGAACTGCTGCTTTTTCTTTCCTTATTCTTACTATCGTCATTATCCTCTACTTCTTTTGTATTTTTGTCACTCTCTTGTGACCTGCTATTTCCGGGGTGCCTTGATAGTCGAAGCAGACTTTGTACTGTTGAGGCTAGAGAGGTGAGCAGAGTAAGCCCGATTCCTCGTTTGGACTTCTCTGTTGACATCCGCCCCGTGGCGCTCATATATGACCTTATGCAGTTGCGAGCACCGCTAAAAACCTTACTAAGACTAAACTAAAGAACATATGTTGTACCTGGCAAGTAAACGTGTGACCTGTCTCGTCCCTAGGGTTTACAGAACATTGTGTCAGTCCTTGTGTGTCTGTTGTCCCCCTGTGTCGTGTCTGTCAAGTAAACGTGTGACCTGTCTCATCCCCCTGTGTCGTGTCTGTCAAGTAAACGTGTGACCTGTCTCATCCCCCTGTGTCGTGTCTGTCAAGTAAACGTGTGACCTGTCTCATCCCCTTGTGTCGTGTCTGTCAAGTAAGCGTGTGACCTGTCTCATCCCCTTGTGTCGTGTCTGTCAAGTAAACGTGTGACCTGTCTCATCCCCTTATGTCGTGTCTGTCAAGTAAACGTGTGACCTGTCTTGTCCCCAGGCTTTACAGAACATTGTGCAGTTGGACGGTCCTGGGGATTCCAGCTCTTCCGAAGATGATGGGGAGTTTGATGAGGAGAAGGAGGAGGAGGAGGAAAAGGAGGAGGAGAATGATGATGAAGCTCAGGGGGAGGAAGAGGTAAGCGGGTGTTCCTGTGCCATTAACCCTTCAATGCTGCAGATAAATAGGCCCCTGTGCCGGGGGAAATCCCATGAACCAAGTCTGCTCAGGGGCGACCCCCCCCACTCTACATCCCAGAACTTTTTTATTTGTGCATATTTCGTCATGAATTTTTGCATGTACATTCTACATTAAACCACATTTCTATTGAAATAATTTTGGGGGGAGTTTCATTGAGAGATAGATGGAGAAAAGTTGGAGTTGGTAGCAGGATACCAAAAAACAACATCATCAAACAACATCAAACAACACACATTTGGGTAATGATAAACTGAGACCACAAAGAAGGGGAATATACGTGTTGTGTGAGAGTCTGCAGGTAAACAGGAAGTGACAAAAGGCTTTTGCTACCTTGTTCAACGCTTGTACCGTCCATATTATGTACGTGGCCGCGCTGGCCTAGTGGTTAAGCTCTCGGACTCGCAACCGTAAGGTCGTGGGTTTGAATCCCGTCAGGGGCCCGACGTTGTGTCCTTGGGAAAGGCACTTTGCACAAATTTTCCTCACTTCACCCAGGTGGAAATGGGTACCCAGCTATAGGCAGAGAAAGATCTTGTCAGTATGTTAGTGTTTGAGCGCATGAAATCCGCAGCTTGCACTGTATGCTTCCGCGGAAGCTGAGAATGTTTCTGAGTGTTCTATGGTCTGCTGGGGTAATAATGTAGTGTAAAGCGCATAGAGCCTGCTGTTGAGCGGGGTTATGCGCTATACAAATGCTATTTATTATTATTATTATTATTACGTGTCAGCCCATCTGTGTGTACTGCCAGAATATCATTTTTGTGTGGTAGATCTAGATCTAATCTTCTTTTCCAGCTAAAATCTGAATCTGACGCTTTCAAATAGGGGGAAGAGGTGAAGAGGTGTTGTTTGTGGGGAGTGATAGTCGAGCTCTATGCTCAGTTGAAGAGGTTAAGAGGTGTTGTTTGTGGAGAGTGATAGTCGAGCTCTATGCTCAGTTGAAGAGGTGAAGAGGTGTTGTTTGTGGGGAGTGATAGTCGAGCTCTATGCTCAGTTGAAGAGTGCAGTGGCAAAGTGTGGAATGGGTCGATCATTTTTAATACACTTACGTTTTTGATTTGTTCAGTTGGGGGGGGGGGGTTGGCCTGTTTGAATGATCAGATGGTTTTGAATATTTAATAGTACTCAAGCAGATAATTTCTATAGTGTCTGCAGTCAAACACGGGTAACTGGAATTCGTTGGGGATTGGAAATTCCGTAATTCGTCATGTCTGTGAAAGCCCCAAATACAAAGAAATAGAGAGAAAATCAAGGGAGGTAAAAAAAAAAAAAAGAACATTATAACAAATTTGCGGGGTTAGCTCCCTTAATGAACGTGTAGATGGTGTGACAGCGAGAAGATGGATGAAAGTGGAAAGCAGAAAATCTCACGTGTGTGCCCAGCCGACCCCTGCGTCATTCCTTTCCTCTCATTTCATTGGTTTACATAAAGAAAGTTATGCCTCTTGCCATCCGCTCCGCATGCATCCCACAACATGATTGCACACGTGGCGAGCCAGTCATACGGTGCAGTCAGCATCACTCCCCCGCCCCCTTCCTCCAGCCTCAGGTGGTGAGACAAGGACCACGTTTTGGCTGTAACAATAACAAAGAAACACCTACCCGCGGCCACAAGGACTGGAAAGCCGGGTCTTTCGTCGAGAATGTCAGGTGGATTGGTTCGAGATTGGAGTTTTGCGTGTTCCGAGTGTTCGGGAACTGCGTGAAGTCAATACAAAGAAACCATAGATCTAGGGACTGAAACGTGACCAAGCATCATGTCCAAGGTACACGAGAATTTGTGATTTTGATGTTTGAGATTCGTGGAGTCCACTGTATATATATCCCTACTGTCACCGCAGAATCAAGGACAATGCGCATATCACATTGTGAACGTATGAATACTGAGAGTGCTGAACACTGTTACGTCTTTTTGTGTGTGGGGGTGGGGGGGGATTATTTGACCATTTTGATGATTAGACAGATTTGAGTAGACTAACGTCTTTTGTTGGCTTGTTTATTGGAAATTTGTTTTGGGGTTGTTTTTTGTCCTGACTTTAGATGATAAAATAGTTTTGAATTTAAAAAGTTGTGTCTATCTTGTTGTCATCCCCAGGAGCCGCTGAACTCTGGCGACGATGTGAGCGAGGAAGACCCGACGGAACTGTTTGACACAGAGAACGTGGTGGTGTGTCAGTACGACAAGGTGAGTGGAGGCCCACGTACAGTGCAGGGCGAAGCTGTCCGTGACAGACACCCATTGGCGACCTCAGTACTTTCTTGTTATATCTCCATTTTTTAATTTTTTTTACATTGAAAATGTGACTTCTTCTTAACACATTACACCCTAACTCGCCCGGGATCGCCCGTGAATTCCCTTACGCGCTCCACCCTGACTCTCCCGGAACCGCCCGCGCCGACCCAGCGTCTTTAGAAACGAAAGTCTCGCCTTGACGAGACTCTGGGGCCGGGATTTTGATTTGCATAGTATAGCAAAAAGTTTCTTCTTTCGTTTGATACCGAAACGAAATTTTTCGGGCCAGTAGTTTTAGTATTAGAGCTGGTCGAAGTGCGATCGCGTTACC